GCACTCTACCCAGGGGGATAGCTTGAGGCTCCGTCTCAAAAAAAAAAAAAAGAGGCAAGAGATTGAGTTAGGGGGCTCAGTTTTGGGAAACATGCTGGTGTTCTGAGTACCCCCGGCCGAATAAACCCGCTTCCTCTAATCAGCTGGTGCCTGGAGTCTTCTGTCTGCGTCGGTTTCCTGCTACAGAAGAACCCTGAAGTTGTTGACGGCAGAGCTCTGATGGGTTGATGATTTCCAAACTGGTTTAATAAATGGACCCACATTTACTAAAAAGGAAGAAGATATAGACAAAGAAAAAGGAAGCGAAAAGGAACAAAGAAAGAAAGACGACAAAGAAGAGCTTCAGCTATGGGAATAGTTTACTCCTGAGACACGCCCGGAGGTGGTGACAGTGACCAGCCGGGAGGCACCAATTGTATGGGAAGGCACTTACAACAGCGCCATTTTACAAAACTATTATGCCAAGCAGAAAATTACCGTGGGGTTGACGGGTTTTGCAATCTGAAAATACCTTGAGTATTACTTGGAGGAATTCATAGCATCTGCTGATAGGTACTTCATGGTTGGCCACAAAGTCATATTTTACATCATGGTGAATAATGTCTCCAAGATGCCTCTGTTAGAGCTAGGTCCTCTGCGTTCCTTCGAAGTATCAAGCCTGAGAAGAGGTGCTAGGACATCAGTATGATGCACATGAAGATCATCGGGGAGCACATTTTGACCCACATCCAGCATGAGGTTGACTTCCTCTTCTGCATGGACGTGGGGAGATAATTTGGGGTGGAGACCTTGGGCGAGTCAGTGGCTCAGCTGCAGGCCTGGTGGTACAAGGTAGATCCTAATGAATTTACCTACGAGAGGCGTGAAAAGTCAGTAGCATCCCATTCGGCTAGGGGGGTTTTTATTACCACGCGGCTATTTTTGGAGGAACGCCCATTCAGATTCTCAATATCACCCAGGAGTGCTTTAAGAGAATCCTCCAGGACAAGAAAAATGACATAGAAGCTAATTGGCATGATGAAAGCCATCTAAATAAGTATTTCCTTGTCAACAAACCATCTAAAATCTTATGCCCAGAATACTGCTGAGATTACCAAATAGGCCTGCCTTCAGATATTAAAATTGTCAAGATATCTTGGCAGACAAAAGAATATAATTTGGTTAGAAATAATGTCTGACTTCAAATTGTGCCAGTATTTTTTTCCAAAAAGTAACACTTGATTTTAACTTAATACAAAATACTAACAAAAAAAACAAAAAAACCCAAAATAATTATACTTTAGCTATTTCTCCAACCTGATAGAATTCCAAGGTAGGTAAAGTAAAGGCAGGCACCTTGTGTTAGTCTATAGGAAGCCACCTAACAGATCAAAATAGATAGCCACAATTCTTCCCCTTTTTCTTTTTTTGAGTCAGTCGTACTTTGTTGCCCTTGGTAGAGTGCCATGACATCACAGCTCACAGCAACCTCCAGCTCTTGGGCTTAGGCAATTCTCTTGCCTCAGCCTCCCGAGTAGCTGAGACTACAGGTGTCTGCAACAATGCCCAGCTATTTTTTTGTTGCAGTTTGGCCAGGGCCAGGTTCAAGCCCACCCTTGGTATATGGGGCTGGCGCTCTACTCACTGAACCATAGGCGCCACCCTGATAATCACAATTCTTTAAGCATAAGGACTGCTCTGCTCTCTCCAGCACTAAAAACTCATACCAGGAATGTAGGCTGCCTTCTTCAAGACTGCAGCTGAGACAGAAAGGGGTCTACGGTAAGGGTGAGGATGAGTTAAAATGCCACCAAGCTGCCAAGTTTCAGTCACTTTTTTTTGGTAGAGACAGAGTCTCACTTTATCACCCTTGGTAGAGTGCTGTGGTGTCACACCGCTCATAGCAACCACCAACTTCTGGGCTTAGGTGATTCTCTCAACTCAG